GCAGCTGAAAAGCTGAGAAGCTGCAGCTGCGCCAAACAGACCCTTAATAGCAAAGCTGAACGATTAAATTAAAAAAAAAAGTCAAACTTGTTAATAATATTATAAAACATCATAGACAATTTAATCATTCATCAAATTAGAGAAAATCTATCAAATTAAATTAGAATGAATCACTAAAAAATATATAAAAACCAAGTGAATCTATCCAAATCGAACAATAAAAAAATCCTAAATATTTATGCTCCTAAACTAAAAAACTAAACTGAAACAGATTTGTCTCATTTGGTTTGAATTTACATCACGTTTAGATTTTTATCTCATATTTGATTACATAGTTTAGTTTAATTTAGTTTTAAAATAACGGTTGGTTTGACACCAAATCAAATGATGTGTAACACTACAAGAAAGGAAATGAAGACATTCAATATTGATATCCAAACATCAAAATCCACAAACATATAGACAAAGTAAAAGAAATACAAAATAATGCATCTAGTTAGATGCCTGCAAAATGAATTTTTACGGACTCAAATTACAAGAAGAGGTGTTTTTAAGAAACAAAATCCACTTCATCAAATTTATTGTTCTCAACTTCAAGAGCATTAACAACTTGGAAATTAGAGATTATGACTAAAAAGTTTCAAAACTTGAAATTGGCAATGAATCAAGTTATTGATCTTAAAATGAATCTGGATACAGTAATTTGACAAAGGCTTTTAATTCCAATCTCGAGAAAATCTAAATAAAATATTAGTATCATTAGGTGCAAAAGGGAATCCAAAATCAAACTCACAATCAGAACGATTGTATAAAGATACAACAAATTGATCCTATAAGAATGATTATGAGCAGGAGGCTAATAAACAGGTCAGATTGACAGAACCGAATATATAGTCATTAAAATATCCGAAAAAACGTCATGCAGGGAAACAAATACAATTTCATGGACCCAAAACTCCAAATCTGTAATTTTATAGACCTAAATGATGTTTTTTGGCATAAAACCATACTGTTATGCCAAACACTAGCCAAGTATATTCTCCTGCACCGTCCTATATGCCTTATTTTTATATTTATTGAAGATCTGAAGCTCATTATGATAAGCCAATCAAGAGACAAACAACAGGCACATAACGGCTAGCCAACTCAGGCAATGGTTTTCTAAAAATTGGCAGGCACTCAAATTTTCATTCCTCACCCTTCAAACATCACATGCCACTAATAGCGATGCTCTAGCAGATGACTAAAAGCAAATAATTAAAAATTTGACCAAATAAAATAGGGGCATTTATATAAATACCACCCAATTTCTATGTATTTACATATCTAACACCTAAACTTTATTTTTTGCATTTATACCATCCAAACCTTTTATATCACATAAAAAATACCACCATTTTAACCTTTAAAAAGTGAAATACTGATACGGGGCTCCCTAAGGGTTGAGCTGGCTGGGAACAGTTGGACCGGTTTAACCAAGGGAGTATGAGGCTCCTATTTTGGGGCTAGAGTTGCCACCAAGGGGAGGAGCCTCCCCACTCCTAGTTATCTACTAAATATAGGGTATTTTATGTCATTAGTTCAGTTTTTGCTTGAGACTTCTATCAAATTGCTGCATCGACCGCAAGAAAGTGCTCCGGCTGTAACTCATCTCGAGATGGTGAGTATCCATCTTTTTATTGCGAGCATCTTCCTACGCATTAACAGGAGGCTGCCATCTTCCTACGCACTACCTGCTACTGCTGCTGCTCTCCTCCCAATCCAGATTTGCTGCCCCATTCTTACCCTCAGCTCGTAGTCCTCCTCCAGCCGCCTATTTCCCTTTTTAGCCACCGTTTCTGTCATAACTTGCTTCCCTACCAACCTTCCAGCTTGCCGTCAACCTTCCCGTCATTCTCCTTATTGCTCCTGTCCTGCACTAACCCCTCCCAGCCACTATACTTCCTTCTCCACCTACTGCTACAGCCGCAACACCCGACCATTTCTACAACAGCTGCACCCCATCTCTCCCATTCCTGTTATAACCACCCACCAGCCTACCACAACATATTCCAGCCCCTCTACCAGCTGCCGCGCCTAGCCCAAGTTGAAGATTTGTGATGTGTTGAATTTCCTTTCCTATTTTGAGTCTTGATTATAACTTGTTTGTTTTTTAGTAATATATTTGTTTTCTCTATAGTGATTTGAGTTAACTCCGGTATCATTTGGTATTAGAGCTAGTCTAATCCTAGTCCTATCATAAGGTTTCATAACACCCATCCCTACTCGAGCCACGTCCACAAAATTTTTTCTCTCCTACCACCAAATACACTCCACTATCACAAATCCTAAACCCTAATCATGCCACTAAAGAGATACAACCTCAAGTCTATCCGCAAAGAGATACAACAAGAGTTTCGTCGACTTCAACATAGACTTGCAGAGATTGATGATGGAACCCAGGGGAGATTACCCTCGACCATTATCTGGAAAGTAAAAGGGAAGAAAGGAATGAGTGTCTCAATCCATACCATACAAAAAACGTCAGTGCTGAAGAAAACAGGCCTTCAAACTTCAGTATCGGAGGAGACTGAGAGAGGAGGCCACATATGAAGGACATAGGGATTTTCAAATCAAAAGTGGATCTACCAGAGTTCGATGGAGGTATGGGTACAGACGAATTTATCGAATGACCGCAATCAGTTGAGCGAATCTTCAAGTACATGTGCCAGAGGACAAACAGGTAAAACAAATAGCCAAAAAGTTGAAAAAGAGCACCTCCTTATGGTGGGAAAACTTGCAGATGTAGAAAAAGAGAAAGAGCGGTGATAAGATTACCAGGTGAGATAAGATAAGGAAAGGGATGCGGAAAAAATACCTACCTCCTCATTACCACAAGAATATGTTCTTGAGACTCCACATACAACAAAGAGATCTATCAGTGGAGGATTTCACGGAGCAATTTGACCAGCTGCAAATAAACTGTGAGTTGGTCGAGCTAGAGAAACATTCCATAGCCCGATATCTTGGGGGATTGAAGCTCGCTATCAGCAAATTTGAGCACTGCAGCCTTGTTGGTCACTGAAAAATATTCAAACCCTAGCCCTGAAGGAGGAGAGACAGCACAAACAAAGCAGACAACCACTACTATTCATGCAGTCATCCATAGTCGGAGACATCAAAAGGAGCATACCATAGGGGGTTGATAAAACTAGTTCAGATAAGGATAAAACCACATCGAGTGAGAAGAAGCCTGTGAAGAGTAGCACGCCTGCTACAATCCCGACCCAAAAATGTGTTAGATGCCATGGGTTTGGGCGTATTGCCTCCAGTTGTTCGATAAACTGAGTTGTCATTTATCAAGCAGGGTGCGTGCAGTGGACGATGTTAGCGATAAAGAGGCAACCGAAGAAGAGGCTAAGGTATATCATCTTCCACTAGATGAGGGTGATATGCTCGTGGTTTGACGAGCCCTACAAATTGAAGATGCAAGGGATGCATAGCGGCTTCACTACAACATATTCTATACTCGTTGCACTGTGAACGAAAAGATATGTAATCTCATCATCGATAAAGGAAGCAGCAAGAATGTGGCGTCTATGAAGGTGGTTAAGAAATTGGGTCTCATGACTCAGAGGTATTCCTAGCAGTATTCTCTGACATTATTGAAGAAGTAGAACATGGTCAACATTGACCTCGAAATATTGCATTTTGCATTAAAATTAAAAAAATTTACAAAACTATGCATGTATGCACCTATCATATACAAAAATGAGAATTGTCATCCACAAGTATAGTAGAAAGCTCTCTATTGTCATTTACATGTACCAAAAGAAGAGAGCCGCCCTACCACATTCATGAAGCATATGAAAAAATAAAAATTATTTAAAATTCAAAAGAAAAGCAAAATTTAAAGCTTCATGTGGTCATTGAAACCAAGTGTCCCTCTTCATGGTAGTCCTCGGAAAGTGTATTATATTGATGTTGTCGCCCTCAATAATGACGCCCTTACATTCGAGCATCCATGGTTTGCCCAGAGGTGCCTAGTGGATTTTTTGATTGGAAGACAGCAGCAGGATCAGGTGTGATGCAAAGTGGTACCCATGGATGTCTGCCACCTTTTATTAGGAGATCATGAAAATTTGATCGAGGACTCAACAAGACGGATTCAAAAACACTTACTCCTTCACCAAAGTGGGGAATCACATCGTCCTTCTCCCTTATTTGTAGTCCGAGATCACAGGTGCCCTTCCTAGCAGAGCAACGTTGGTGGTTTTGGTGATAACAGAGGATGATTGGATAGAGACACCAATTCCAGACATGGGACAGTCACAAAAGAGAACATTTCAGGACATCATAATTGATACAATACCACCATGGCCACCACCATTCAAGGAGGTTCATATTACCCTCATTTCAAATCAAGTTGAGCCAACCTTGGGCTATTTTGGGAGAATTCAACATTATATGCATGAACTGCAACACCAGAAGATTGGATCCATATAGATGTATCCTCGCAAGTGATGAAAGATCCAGTGCCGTGGGAGGCGACGCAGTTACTAGCGGGGTCCAGGTGTTTCTCGGGCCACATTCGAAGTTCCGCCAGCCCCGGGAGGTTCTAGCTACTTTGTCATCGTCAATGTATAAACAAAAGCTTCAACGAATGAAGTCGAAGCTCCCCCAACACTGAGAGACTGACGCAAGACTCCTTGAGGGCTGACCAGCTGGTAACAGTTGAACAATCCAACCTGTTTTGGGTCTTGATTGTAATGTTGAATTCTCCAAAATAAGAAAGTTGAGAGCCGACCTTTCCTGTTTTGGGTCTTGATTGTAACCCTGTTTGTTTTTGAGTAATAATATTTGTTTTCCCTATTGTTATTTGGATTAACTCTGGTATCAAATGTCTTTTCAAACATAAGGAAGGTGGTATGAATGTAAAAATTGAAGCTTAAATGTTAGATATGTAAATGCATAAGAATTGAGTAGCATGCATGAAAATCTTCCACCAAAATATTAGAGAATTACTGAGCCGCTCACCAGCCACTACAAAGTTAATTTTATAAAGTTCTCCAAAAAAATGGCAACCAAACTTTTGGACTCTTCACTGACAGCAATAGTACCCTCAAGGTTGGCAAGCTACATGATGAATGGTTTAGCTAAGATGCAAATACATAAGCAATTCGAGCAATACCATGAATCTCTAAATGTATTTACATGAGTTAACACAACAGAGGAACCATTAACTCTCTTTTCATTCCTAATATGTGCAGAAGAATTCACAGCGGTAGAGCATTTAATTAACATCTTAACATTGTACGAAGACCCAAGCACACTTAGATAATATAAAAGATGAGCAGAAACACCAGAGTATTTTTACTGGAAAACCCAGACAGGAAAAAAGCCATGGGGATTGGCTTAGTTGAATAAATAAACAATAAATTGGTGATTACAAATATAACAACTTGTCACACAAGCAGAAAAGAGTTACGCAATCTCCCGAGCAACAACGCCAGTGCGTGGATTAACTTGTAGCCCTGTCATAGGGAGGATCGCTGCAGGAGAAGTGAAAGTCAGAGCTTTAATGTCCCATCTTAGAGGTTGGCGCGACGTCTGTGATGATGCGTTGCTTCATAGGTTGTTTTGTGCGGTATTCGTGCGGTATTTCATCATAGGGAGTGGGCGGCGGCCGATAATGATCGAAGACGGCAAGCGAGTTGTGGTCAAAAATGGTTGGCGATTGCGGGAGTCAGAAGCAATAGCGCCTGGAGTTGGCTGGGGGATGTGGCGGCCATAGTTGGTCGGAGGGATGCAACGACTAGAGTTGGTCGGGCGGCAGATATCGGTGTGGGGGAGGGGGCGCCGCCTGCCATAGTTGGCCTGAGGGCAGCGACAGCCCGAATTGGCCAGAAGGCGGCCGATCATCGGTACAAAAGTGAAGTTGGACTTCAACTCCTTCTCCAAGTTTTAGCCTTCTTCAGGCTTCAAGATCTCTCATATTTTCAATAGAGGGGTATGACTCTATTTATAGAGTTCCAGTTGCAATTAATGAAAGAATTTGATTCACTCTGATCGGACAATCCAAAGAGATTTTCTCGATCAAACGGTGTTTGATGGACATTAGATTGTCTTAATGATGTCAGATTGAGCGATCTTGGGCTCATTGGATTTGTATTGCCGAGAAGTTCGACTATAAGCTCGTCAGATTCGACATCAGTTTAACCCTCCAAATATGTCTGGAAAACTTCCAAAAGTGTTTAATGGCTTGATCGGGGTTTGTTTTGGTCTGATTGGACCAATTTCGGTTCAATTGGGTGCCAGTCAATTTGACTGTAAGATTACTAAAATAAGAGCTTTGGATGATTTTAATCAAAGTTTGAATGTTTTTGCTCAAAAGATCATCCTGAGATCTGTGTCATACCCCGAGATTCGTGTCGGATGATGGGAATTTGTTGATGGCGTATCAATTCCCAAAACAATTCACGTATAATTCTAGTAAGAACTGTCCTTAATAAATATCCCTAGAAACCTTTATTCCTTACGCATAGAACACAAGTGTTTAAGTTATATACAAGAACTGTAGAAAAAAAATTTTCCATCAAATAGGAAATTTGAATGCTTAAAGAGCGTAAACAAGATGAATTTGTCAATAAGATATCATGATTGAAGTATGGATAACCCATTATTTAAATCCTGAAAATGGACGAGTTAATAGAAAGAAAACAAGAGCAGATAAAGCAAATATAAAGTAATTCACATACCATCAAGGCCCCACCCCATGTACAAAGGAGTGATTCCAATGGCATCACGTGCAGCAATAAAGCTTTTATCACGAGTATCAAGGAGAACAAAGGAGAACATTCCATCCAACATGTCCACGAAATCCTCTCCATAATCTTCATACTGTGAAATTGAAAGGATTTTGTTAAATTTTTAGGCAGTAAACATAACAACTTTATAATCAATAACAATGTCCAAAAAAGACAATGGGATAATAATAGCTAGTAATATAGTAGCAGAAAACACTTGATCAATATTACTGACAAGATGAGCAATCACTTCACAATCACTGCCAGTTCTGAATTGATGAGAGCTGAGCTTTGTTCTCAGCTCCTGATGATTATATATCTCCCCATTTACCTGAAACACATAACCAGTGGATGTTTAATGACTAAAACTTGTCGGTGAGCATATGATAATAATCTAAAAGTTGATCTATGAACAAAAAATTTAAGAGTTCAGATATCTTCAACATATATAGAAATATCTTCATGGGAAAACAAGAGCTACAATTTGCAAATAATTTGCATGAAATGGAATATCAACAATAAGTAGCTGTGCTGAAGCTTCAACTGCAGGAAACAAAAAAAAAGGAAAAGTAAATTGAAGCATGGTCGCAATACTAGGAAATCTGAGAAAACAAAAACCTGTAATAAAAACTTAATATAAAAGGCCAGCCAGCCAGCGGGCAGAAATTTGGAAGAAATTAATGACAACAAACAAAGGGCGGCATCTAATTCTCGAAGAAAATAACTAGTAAATGAAGGTCACAGACTAGAGTAAAACATGGGAATAAATACTGATAAAAACTTAATGGAATGTTTTCAAATTACAGTAATTATTAGAAGCAAAAATTTTTCCTAGAATTGTAAAAATTCCTAAAATATAAAAGTCAGTACTATGCATACTTAACCACGCTTTTATCATAATAAAGTGAGTATTTTCTACCATTTTTGTGCATGGTATCAGACAGCCAAGTTAGGATAAAAAATTCCAACCTGCTTCCAGCCTACACTGGTTCCTTCTCCATGTCTGAAAGTTATAATTTCTCTTCAAGAAAGTTGATTATCATTGATGGTGAGAAGATGAACAATTAATCAAAGGAGAATTCCAAAATCTCCAAACATCCTACCCAATGAATGGAATAAATTAACTAAAATAGGCTCAGCCTATGAAAACCCTTCTAAAGTGAAAGAGAAACTACAACACCTGATAAATCTTCCACCAATCCTTAAAGACCCGAAGCTCACATTTTGGGATGAATATGACTGTGATAATGTATAGTTGTGGGCTCCAAAAATTCGACCTCGGATGAGACCCAGACTCCAATTTGTTGTTGAAAGTTTTGTCGCGTCAAATTTTTAACAAGCAAATTGGATTATAGATAAGACATTACTCAGAGATTCTGCTGTCATTTTGCGAGAATTTTAACATTTGGGGTTCGAGATTTCCCAATAGGCACAAACCCCTATGATTAATTACCCCTCTCAAAAAAAGAAGAGTACTTTTGATCAAGGCTAGTATTTAGATTTGAATATTTAATATATAGTAACAATAGACAATGAGTTTAGATTATACAATTTATTACCTTGAACATAAAGAGAACGGTGGGGGAAAATGATAATGAACCCGATCAAAATCCTATGTTCTGTTGCTCTGAATTGTCAAGGTCGCTGATCTACTTAGTCAAAAAAGATAGTCAACCCAACATGATTTAAGGATCTTTGTCAGCAACCATACGTCACGTCGTCTAAAGGACTCCTATAGATCTAGGTGGATGTTAGTTTAAGGGAATAAATTTAAGTCGATATTAGTTGATAGAAGGCTCTATGTCAATCAATCGTGCCCATATGATTCACAACGGCGACACTCACCCGGTCAGAAGGCTGATCGTAACCGTTATATTGTATGGAGTCCAAACCACCATGACAAACGACTTGGGTCACATCCTTACAAACATGAAATTATTTTGAGTGTGAATATAGTAATATTCAATGCGATATTCGCTCATTGTGAGCTAAAGTCGATCAAAAGTTTATCACCTCAAATAAATTGTTGCAGAGAGTGGATGAAATTTGCTTTAAGTAGTGATTTATTTTAAATTGAATATTTTGGTTGGTTACTTTGAAAAGTTAATTTAAAAATGACCTATTGTTGAAATATTTTATCAACTCGATCATCATCAGGAGAATTTGAACATTTAAAACTTTTATGTCTAAGATTCACTTGAATTTTATTAGTCTAGATGATTTTGAACTTACAATTTTTTTACATGTGATTTGGGTATTGTTGAAACATACTAGACTCGTCAACTCTAGTATTTATAAGTAGTATAGGACTAGATGAGTGGGACTTAATATCTGATTCGGGACTTGGAATTAACTATGATGGGAGCAGCACTCAGACGATGAAAGCAATTTTTTTTCTATTTTTATTTTCTATAACTAAAAACTAATGATCCAAATGAAATGAAAGAGGCACTACAAAAAGTAAATTAAATTACCTAAGTTCAAATTGTCCATATCTTCTATAGGTATTCCCTTATCTATTACTCATCTTATAATTAAAATCATTAAACCTGAAAGGTTAATTTAAAATAGAATGAGCTACAACTGCTAGTGAATACTCCAACTTGTAAATTACAGTAACATAATGAGAAATAAATGATATGGATACTAGTTAAACATGAAATAAATCAATATAAAAATATTTGACAGTTTATACTCTAATATGATCATTCAAGGAAGTTTCATACATTAGCCATGTCTTACTATATCATTTAGATATCTAAATCATTTTAATCTATGTACATCCGTCACAGGGGTATCGTCTAAAATTATGTTAATTAAGTCACATAAACATTAATATCCTTGTTTACATGTACATATAACTTAACGTCCCCTAATTAGTACCATACAAAAGTGAACTTCATCATAATCAAGCATGCATATACAAGTAGTATATGTAGCTCATATTAATCAACTGTTTATTTCGTTCAACTCCACATAATTTATATACCTTTAAATAATGCACAATAATGATTATTGCTAAAATGTATATCATCACAATAATATGACCAATAAAAAAAAGAGCATATAAATCAAAATGAAACTTGACAGGTAAAGTAATAGGTAGAAGTAAATATCAACACAACTGATTAAGAAAAAAAATGCTACTACATATAAAAAATAAGAGTACTCACCTCAATGTTCTCCTTCAATTGAACACACATTATACAAAAATATACACATTAATAAAATTTTATTATATTATTAATTATTATTATTTACTGCTTCATTATTACATCATTTAATTTAGATTATGATCGTTCATTCTTAAGACTTATTATGTTGCTATGCTTAAATTATAAACGTTACAATTCTCATTAAAATTTCTTTGAAATTATTATTACTATTGTTATTCTTTTTATTCCTGATTTATATCAAATTACTTTAAAATATCTAGTTAAAATTTACCCAGCTCAAACTCACTGCTTGATCTTGATTGCTTATAGTCTCTTAATTTGATTGATTGTCAAATTTAATCATTCTTAATAATTCAAAAAGGTTTTAATATTAATATAATAGAACTTATAAATTAAAACAATTAAATAAATAAATAACATAAAACACGAAAAGTACCCCTTACCTCCCCAAGAACTTGGCTCGGCTCTTCCCCTATCCAGTACACAGCACGGTAATGTTCCTCTTTTTTTCCTTGATGCGGATAGACTTCTTCTCACGATGTCAAATCTTTGGTATTAGAATCACATGACTCTTCCATTTCTTCTTCTCTGCGAGCCTTCATCAACAACATGCACGAGCCACTCACACCTCTATCACTATCTTTGTAAGTGTTAATCGACTCCCAAAGTAAGCTTGCATTCACGACCAGAACTGGCATCCACTACCTTCGTAAGTGTCAACCGGCTCCTCAGGTAAGCTCGCATTCATGATTGGAGTCCAGGTTAACCTCTCTCGCTCTCTCTGCCTCTCTTTGTATGCACCGATCGTCCCATAGATGTGCTCAATGCTCAACTTATAGAATGAAACCGCCCCTTCGAGTGCCCGATCACTTACTTCAACCCCATCTCTTTTGTCTCCCCCGCTTTCTCTTATTCATTCATCGAGAAGACGAAAATGCTCGACTAATTGAAATGAGGCGTTAAAGTCGACTCAAATTACGAAAATTTCATCCTCAAAATTTAAAACTTCCCATAAACCACTTCTCATTGTAGAAGACATTATTTATAAATTTCCATGAATAAGTTTATATATCAATCCTTAGGATGAAAAGTGGATACAATAAATCAAAGGTCTGATACAAGATAACTGAACTATTCCCCCATCATCTAAAATAAGATAACATAACAAGGTTAATATCACATATGAGCAACATAACATAATTAAAATTACACAATCACTGAAGCACCAATACAATATAAAGATGCCTCTAGAACATTAAAAGTGAAATAAAATACTCATTAGACCTTTTTAGCATCAGCATTCACAACAATATGTTCTTTAGACTCATTATGAGTAAGGTTATAAACTCACAATCAAACTGGCTATCATGATTAAACTTGGGTGGGAGCTGAAGTTATTGCCTTTATCCTTCTCTACCCACATGCATTCTTCTGAAAAGGAACTCTACTTGATTTTTGAACTTCAGTGATTTTCTGGCCAAGTGATATCTTGCTATATGACCAGACCGATGACACCGGTAGCATATGTTGGCCCATCAACCATTCACCCTTATGATGTCTACCATATTCGGCACATGATGCTACGGTGCTAAGTCGTGCCATTATTGAATCCACTTGAATTGAACTTAGACTTCTTCCCATTAGATCCCTCTGATTGAATCACCTATTTTCCTTCATCCATACTCTTCTTCTTGGATATATCTTTACGCTTTTGAGTGAGTTGATAATCAATTTACGCTCATCTAGTCCGCTCTATCAACATCATCAATTCACAAAGGCACCAATGGTTATCTGATTGAATCCTTCAATCCGGAAAGAAAACTGTAATACTTATCCTCTCCTCTACATTTACGATCAACTACAGTGCATACCTCAACAGCGTAGTGAACTGTGCTTCATATTGCACGACTCTTTTCTCTCCCTGCACCAAGCTAATGAACTCGTTTTGCATCTGTCTTCGAGAAGATAGAGGAGCAAATTTCTCTCTGAAATGCTTCACAAAATCCTCCTAGTTTACCATCATGTTCAGTATGTCCCCAAATCTGTCCTAACACTGCCCACGTCACCACCTTTCTGCTTTTCCATCCAACACAAATGTAGCTAAAGGTACCCTTCTTTCATTCAGACACGCCATGTTATTTAATATTTTCTCTAT